TGTGGGGATTGGGCTCATGCACAGGGTCACCAGCATGGAAAACTGGGAGAAGAAAGAGGGAAAGGTCAATTTGAAATGTGTTTTTAACCCTCCTTTTGATGGGCACATTCCACACGGTACATCCTGCAGGAGAGGTGGGTGTTTGGGACCAGGAGCAGGCCCATGAGCTGGGAATGAGCTTCTAGGGAGGACCTGCTGTTCCCTCATGCACATCTTGGGATACCCTGGGAATCTCCTGGGAGACTCTGCTGCCACACACCGATCTCTGCAGTGAAGGATGAGCTGAGCCACCACTTCAATCCAGTTTCACACCCAGTTAATTTTGGAGCTCCTTCTCCATTAGAGCTCCTTCACCACAGCCCTGGTGTCGCCCTCACTCATGTGTCACTCCCTGGAGCTGGAATTAGGCAGCCCTCAGTAGCCCTTGGGGTCATTTCAGGAGGTCCCTCAGGGAGCTTTGTGCAGGTTTTGGTAGTTGAGAATCTGCTCCCAGATGCCCACAGAAGTCAAAATATTTATTTATAGCTTTCCTTGGAAATCGGAAAATGGAAAATAAAAAGGAGAGACATCTCCCAGGAAAAGGCAGGGAGCTATTTCCAGGCAGCAGATCCTGAAATCCTGCAGCAGGAGTGGGATTTCAGGATGCCAGGATTTCAGGATTTTGGGATTTCAAGATGCCAGGATTTCAGGTTTTCAGGATGCCAGGCTTTCAGGATTTCAGGATCTCAGCATTTCAGATGGATTATCCAGCATCCTCTCCGCCCTGGCACTCCTCACTGCTCCACCTTGATCTCATCACCTCCTCCCTGTGATGGGACACTCAGCACCTGGATTGTCCCTGTGTCTCCTGGGGCTGGGATGCACCCACTTCCCTAGGGAGCACTGCCAAGCCCAGGGCTACTTCCCAGCCCTGATCCACAGAGATTTTTCCCCCCAAAATCCATGCTGGATCCATACCCATGGAATATGTGTTGCCTGAGGAGACTGCAGGGCATCTCTGGTGGTGGGAGGAGGCTCCTCTTGCTCATTTTCCCCAGTATTTAATTAATATTGCTGGAATGTTGCCAGGATCCTATTAGGAGTGGGATGGGACAGATGGACACCCAGGGACACACAGAATTTGCAGAGGATCTGTTTAGGGAGCAGTGGGAATGGGATGTACCCAGAGCCAGCAGCTTCTGTGGCTTTTTGGGCTCAGGGTTTGGAGGAGGCCTGGATGTGGAACAGTGGGATGAAGCCTCAAGGACTGGATGCCATCCCACAGCCCCTCAGGCTGGTGCTGGGATGTTCATAATGGATTCAGGATGCTCCTCACTAATTCTGGTGTCTGTTTTTTCCAAGCCCATCTGTTATTGCTCCAAACAGCTTTCCAAAAAAACAAAAAAAATTAAAATAAATTTAAAAAGCAGTGCCTTGGTACTTACCCTGGGGTTAAATCATCCTTGTAATGGCAGCTTGGCAGTCCCAAGTTTCCCAAATATTTGGGTGCATCTTTGTAGCTGTTTTGCTTATTTAATAAAACCTCTGTTTTCCAGACAAATACCTCGATGTGTGGAGTGGGAAGGATCCCAGGGTTTTTCGCTGAGAAATCCCTTCCCTGTGTGTATTCCTGAGCCCTGGGGTCCAGTTTGGAATTGTGGAAAGAGGGATGGGGCTTGAGGGGCTGAGGTGGGATCTGAACCTCTTGGGTGGGCTTTGGGAGAGCTCCCACGGATGATCCAAGTGCTCCACCCCAACATCCATCCGGACACCAGAGCTGCTGCTCTGTCCCCTCCTCTTCCTGATTCTCCTCATCCTGACAGCGTTTGGGAAGAAAAGGGAAAAATCCACTGAGTTTTTTCCTGCTGGACCCTGTTAGCTTTGAATTCAGCTCCCCAAGGAATATCAGTGATTTCTGTTCCTGTGTCACCCACTGAGACAGGCAGCAAACAGCTCACCCAGGCAGCATTTAAAAAGCACATTTTTATATGTCTATAAAATAGAAGCAGGGAAAAAAAAAATAACATTCCTCAGAAAACTTCAGCCTCCTCAGCCAGGTTTTTTTCTTCCCTTTTTGGCAGAGTGGCAGAGAAATGCAGCTCAGTATTGCCCCAGTTCCTCTGATATTCCCAAAATACTGCAGGAGCCGCAGCTCTGGAATCTCCCAGGGTGCTGAGGATGGATCCTGTCAGCATTCCTCGGGTTTTTTTGCAGTGCTGGATGTTTTGTTCATGGAGGGGAGGGGGCTGCACTCCCCTAGAGCGTTGGGAAGCTGCGACATAATAAATTAAAGATTCTTGGATGCATCCAGGTGACCCCAATCCCACCCCTGCACTGCTCAGCTGGAGACATCCTTAGCTGTTAATTAACAAAGTCCTCTTGATTAACAGCAGCAGGAGGTTAATGACCAGGGGCAGTTCCAGGGGAACGTGCACAAACTGGAATCAGCATCCAGGGAAAGGGCTGGGGGGGAGCTGCAGCTCCAGGGCTGGCGGTACCGGGATCTGCTGCTCTTTTTGGGGCAGAAATCGGTGAAATTGGGGTGCAGCTGGATTCAGCACAACCACCACCCCATGAAATCCGGAATTAGGGAAGTTGTGAGGATTTTAGGGTCAGTCAAGGGTCATGGTAAAGAAGAACAGCAGGTTTTGGAGCTGGGGCACAAATCCTCCATCCCAGAATCCCCATCCCCAGCTTTGGAGCACCAACCCTTGTCCAGGACCTTTATCCCAAACCCTGGGACCCCCAACCTTCAGGCCAGGACCCCCATCCACATCCCTGTGATTCTCAGACCAGAATCCCCAGCCCACACCCTCAGTCCCCACCTCCCAAATCCTATTCCAGCCATCCTGCCTCTCCCTGCTCCATTTCCCCATTGTGCTGTGGGGTTCAGCATCCCCAGATCCCAGAGATGGGAGCTGTGGCAGGACTGCTCCTCGCCCAGCACATCCCAAACCTGCCCCATTCTCTTTGCTGCTCCCCTGGATTTACCCAAACCCCAGGCTGGGTCTCGTTTTCTGGGTGAAATTACCCTGGAATAAAACAAACCCTGCTCCTGTGGAACGTGTTACCATCCTTAATGACAGCTCTTTTTCACTTGGTTGTCACGGCCCTAAAATAAAGCTGTGCTTTCCCTCTCCCATAAATCACTGCCTTTATTCCAAACTGGAAGGAAATTTAAAATTAAGGAAAAAAAAATAAAGGACTAAACGTGTTCCCCTCTCCCTTTGCTGGGAGCCAGGCAGGTTGGAGCCAGGTTTAAATTATCCCTGCTGTGTTCAGGCACGTTGTCAGCTGTAAATTTTAGGGGAAACAGCCAAGCTGATACATAAACCTGTTGGTTTTATCAGGGATGGAGGTGGCTGCTCTCAGATTTATGGCCCATCTCCCCATTCTGGGGTTTTTGTGGAAGTTCTGCTGCTGAGGGGTGTGGGGGAGGATATCCCTTATTTTTTATTTTTTTTTTTAACACAGCTTTGTGGGATTTCATTTGAGAAGAAGAGGAATTCCTTCTCTCTGAGCTCCCCAGCATTGTTTGCATCACATTGGGGTATTCCTGGATTTAGGGGATTTAGGAATTCCTGGATTCAGGAGGATCCAAAGGAGCATCCACTCCCTTTGCCAGGAAGGGATCCCAAACCCTCCATCACCACAACATCCAGGGAGCACAAACCCCACCCGGAATTGGGGGAAATGCGGGAGGTTTTGGTGCAGACGCCGTTGCCACGGCAACAGCAGAGAAACCCCTGCATCCCTGAAGGCAGGAACGCTGCAGCAGCACCGGGAGGCAGGAAAAAGCTCCCGGGGATGCGAGATTTGCCAAAAAGAGATGATTTTTCCAGCAGGAATCCAGGGAGGAGGGGAGGGCACGGTCCTTCCAGCGGGGCAGGGCGGGCTGTGCCCACCCAGGGATGCTCAGGCTGAGTCAAGAGGAAAAATTTCGGCTTTTCAGCTTTTCAAATCCTCATGGAAAGGATGAGTGCTGCCTCCCCCAGGCAGCCGGGCGGGCTCGTAAATGCCAAGAGCTTTTCCCAGGAAAATGATGCGGGAGGGGTGGTTGGCTCCTTTTTTCCAGGGGGAATAGGAATTTTGTCCTTAAGTGCCAGTTCCACATGTGGTTAAAATACAACCCAGAGTTTAATAAAGAAATAAAATTCTGAGTATGAAGCTCTGGGATGGGGAAGCTGCTCCTGCATCAATGGGATGAGGGGAAGGGGGATCCCAAAATCCAGAGGTGCAGCCAGATGTGCTGGCATGGTCATAACATCTTCCAACTGCTCCATTTCGGTGCAATTTAAATGTGTTTAAAAAAAATTTAAAAAAATAAAGAAGCAATTGTGGTGCAATAAAAGGGAAAATAAAAAAATAAAACATGTAAATTGATACTGGGGAGATTCCCAGGGTTTTTTTTTGTGGTGTTTGTGGGGGTGCAGATGTGGGGTCCCCTCCCCTCTCTCCTCCTGATCTGCAGCCCAGGCTCCGAGGGCCACACGCAATGTCATCCCTTAATTGCTTTATCTGGCGATTAATTGGCTTTGAGGGGTTAATTACTGCCGAGGGGAGGCAGGGAGCTCTGCCCCTTGGGCGGCCGGGGCCTGTCAGAACAAATCAAGGTCTAGGTTGAGGCTCCATCCCTGCTTAAATAAAAAAATAAAATAGGAATTTCACCAACTCCAGATTAGAAATAAGGGATAAATTGCACCCAGCTCTCGCTCTGGTGCCGAGGAAGGTCAGGAATAAATCCTGCAGTGAATTTCCCCCTTCCCAGCACACATCCCATTAAATCTGTCTGTAAGGACACTCTCAAGGTACAGAAGATCCCAAAAAGGAGCAGCTTTGGCGGCGTACTCAGCGCAGAAATGACATTAATGGGATTTAAATACCTGTTAATGGGTTTAAATACAGAAATGGATTAATGGGATTAAAGGGGAGAGGAGCGGTTCTCCCTTTGCTCCCACAGCCCTTGTCTGTGGTGGGTTGGGAGTGCTCAGGTGGCCCCACAAACACACAGGGAGGCAGAGCAGCAAGAAAACCTCTCCTTTAATTGCTGGGTTACCCTCAGGGTTTGTTCTGACATGACAACCTCGAGGCTGCCATGAGCAAAGAAGAGTGGGCTCAGCTCCAATCCCACTGCCAGGAATCCCATAAAAACCTCCAGCTGCTTGTCAAGGGAAGAGTTAAAGAGTCAAAAAAGAGTTTGAAAGAGTTAAAAATGGGGCAGCTGCTCCCTCTGATCGAAATCCCCCCCCTTCTTCAAAAAAACAAGGAGCAGCCCAGCTCTGCTCCACACACACTTTAGAAAAATAGATTTTTATTGAAATTCTCCTTTTTTCTCCAGGGAGTTTTCTTCTCTCTTGGAAATAGAGACCAAGCAGGGTCTCTGGCTTCGACCTGTGCCTGTGTTTCTATCAGGATCAAGAGTTAAAAGCCAACTGGTGAATCTCTAACTCTAGAAAAGGCTGCGTACAATATATGGCTTTTGCACCTACATCCAAGGGGTTTTGCGGGTTGGGAGCCTTGGGGGAGCTCATCTGGGACAAAGCCAGGATGGGGAGGGTGGCGTGGGATGAGGGGACAGCCAGGGACCACATGCAGCTGTGCACAAAGCCAGCCGGGAAATCGGCACATTCCCGGTGTGTGGGATCCTTTGGTTTGGCTTTGGGGCACCCCCAAAGCTCAGCCCCAGGGTTTGCTCCCCACAGGGGTTGGGTGCAGCTGGGTTACAGTGTGAACCTTGCTTTTAGTCCCCCAAACTGCTCCTGGCCCCCCAGAAATGCTCCTGAGGGGCTGTTGTGGCTCGTGGGTTCTGAAACAAGGCCTGGACAAGCTCGTGGGGCCCAGCAGCTCCAGGGAAATTTCCCCCTCTGGAGCTGCATCCACAGGGAAGGGGAGCTTCCCCCTGTGGCCACACTGGTGGGGGTCATGGGCCCCCCCAAAGGGCTGGAGCAGCAACTTTGCCTGGTGCTGTGGCTGGGGAATTCCAGGGAATTCTCAGGGAGCCACAGGATGGCTCCATGGGCCACAGTCAGCAGGTTTGGGGACATTGCACAGCACGGCCTTGCCATCCCATAACCTCAGGCAGGATCCAGGAGAGTGCCACACCCTTGGTCCATCCTCCCTTGGGAAGGCTGAAGATTCCATCCAAGGACAAGTGGAATCCTTGCAGGGCTGGGAATTCGGGGACACCCACCCCAAGGAGCTCAGCTCTGGGAACACCAGGGCCTGAGCAGCTCAATGTCCCCAGGAGAGCCTGAGGGGACACAAACATCCCACTGCCCTTCCCAAGAGGGCTGGGGCAGCCAGAACAGGAGCAGGGGACCCTGTGGGGAGCAGGGAAGGCACCCATGTCCCCAGGTTGGCCAAAAAAAAGCTCAGCAGTGGCTGGGGACCTGCGGCGGCTCATGCAGGGAGTGACCGACAGCTACAGCAGCACATGGAGGGTTAAAAGAGGAGCCACCCACTGGGTGGAATTAGGCAGAATCTGGGAGGACAGAGCCACCCCTGGGCGCCGTCCCCCCGCTGTGGTCACCATCATCTGGGGTAATAATCCTCGGGGACCCCCGAGAGGTTGCGGAGCTTCAGCGCGGCGTCCACGGTGCGGATGTAGCCGCTGATGGCCTTCCTCATCTCGGCCGTGTAGGGGTCGTACTCCAGCTTCCTCAGCCCAGAGCGCTTGAAGTTGCCATCCTTCTGTCCCTCCACGCACAGCAGCCTGTCCTCACAGGCTGTGACACCCAGCAGGGCCACCATCCTCTGCAGCTGCACGAACAGGTCGCGTTTGAGGTCCTCAAAGTGCACCACCAGCACCTTCTTGCCGTAGCGCAGCCAGTCCAGAGTGTGGGTTGCCCACCACGGGGCATAATTAGCCACAAATTCCGGCCATTCTGGGGGAAAAAAGGAGAAGGGGATGTGTATTGGGGTTTCACCCAATTAGAGAAAATGTTGGAGCCCAGAAGAATCCTCTGGAGGACCCTGGCAGGGGGCTTGGAGACATTGGTACAGAGTCAAAGACACCCGTGCCTTTGATTTTAACCCATGGAAAAAACTACCAACTTTGTGTGAAGGTGTACAAGCCACAAGCATTTGAGTAGAATGTTAGTGAATTTATCACAAGGTGAAAGATGTAGAATTTTTGGGTTTTAGAATGGGGGTTCAGGAGGCAAGATGGAGGAATCTGGGCATGTCCTGTCTTTCTCCTTCTTCTTAGCCTCCATCTTCTGCTGTGATGGTGGCACTTTTGGATTGGTTTAGAGTAGAGACAGACTGTCTAACATAGGTGATAGGTATTGGAAAATTATTGTAAATAATGTAGTTTTTAGTATAAAAAGATAACACAGCCTCTAGGATGGTCAATGTGCCACAGACTGACTTGCTAGACAGACCTCAACAGGTCAGAAAAGGAATGTTATGGATAAAAGAAAATAAACAATCTTGAAAACCACAGCCGAAGAATCCTGACTCCTTCTTCGATCTCAGGGCTGGGAAAAAGAGATTTTCTAACACCTCAGGGTCATCTTGATCACAGAGACTCAGAGAAGAAAACTATGCAGGTTTGTGAAGAAGGAGGTGCAAAAAAGACACCTAACCCACGCCCAAAATTCTCCATCTTGGCACCCATATATCACCATATACTAAATCCCCAAATCTAAGTTTTTTCACACACTTCTAACCAACTCCACACCCGTAATCTCAGGGCTATTAATCAAATTTGGAAGCCTTCTCCATAGCCTCAGGTCAAATGCACTGTTCTCTTGTGGGTCTGTGCCTTTCAGCACTGAAAGTTTAAAATTCTCAGCATCCAGGGTTCCAACAGATGCGAGTGGATGTTCCCTGTGTCCTCTCCCATCCCTGCTGGAACATATCAATTAACCTTCTGGCTAATTGATCCTGCCATTCAAATCAGGTGGTGAGTGGGATGATGAGACACCGATAATCAGCCGCCTCTCTCCTGGCAGTGCTGCATTAAAGCTCCAGGCATCTCCCTCTTCCTCGAGTCCTCCCCAAAAAACCAAAGCCTGATTAACAGCTGGACTGGGTTAAATTCCCTGAGGAATCGTTAACCACAGGATGTGTTCCATTAAACAGATCCAGGACAATTCACCTTGTGTAATCACAGCACATAAAACTTTGCTTTGGAGCCGCTCCAGGGATGTCGTAAAATTAATGCCACGGAACCAAACAGGGGTTTGGCCTCTGCAGGGCTGGGAATGGGCTGGGAGAAATGGGAAAACACCCCCTCAGCACTGGGGGTGAGGATGGAGAGAGGGCCCAGGGATTTTTTTTCCCAAATTAGCCCCAAAATTAGTTACTGGGAGAAGAAAATAATATGGAGAGATGGGCTGCAGGGAAGGCTGGGAATGGTATCCTCATGCTCCATGTTCAGGGGCCTCTCCAGCTGGGAATGGGGTCCCCAACCATGCAATGGAAAATCTCCATCTTTCCCAGTAGTGGTTAATTAACCTGACAATTAACCCTAATTAGTCCACATATCCTCTGGAAAAAAATTGGTGATATATTTGAAGTGCATCCAAACAGGGCTGTGCTGGCATGGTCCCCTCTGGATCTCCCTCCCCTCAGAGACACGAAGGGACAGGCTGGGGAGGAGGTTGGGATTGGGAAGGCTCAGGAGGCTCCCTATGATCCGTGGACAAGGATTGGGAAGGCTCAGGAGGCTCCATGTGGTGCTGGGATACCAATCCTGGCTCTATCCACAAATGGATGGGGAAAAAAATCAACCAACAGGCTCCTGTGCCACCACAGTGGGGTCAGTGCCAGCCCAGGGATGTTGGTTGAGGAAGTGGGGGACACCACACCCCGCTGGTTTTATGGGATAGGGAGAGCAGGGCTGGGCTGTGCCCAGCACTGTGAGCACATGAAGATAACGAAATCCAGGCACATCCCAGCCACAGCAGCCAAAGCTCCCCTTAAATAAACTCAGAATTAAGGGTAGCAGATGTTCAATCAAGCTAAACATTTTAACTCTTTCCAATGAAGTCAATCCCACAACAGCAATTTGGAAATTGCTGTAATTAAGCAGCCTCTGGCACGCGCCTGTGCGTGGGAAAGGGGGCGGCTGGGGAGCAGCTGGACACGTGGAAATAACACCTGGAAACCACAGGGATGGGCTGGGGACTGCCACCACTCCCTGGGGACAGGAGATGCCCATCCCTGCCTGGTCCTGCTGTCCTGTTCCATCTTATCCCACCCAACACAGGAACCCACAACCAAGAGATGACGATTACACCAGGAGATGGCCCAAAATGGTGGCACAGCCCAAAATTTCCCCCATGCACACCCAACTCCAGCTCTGCTGGGCTTTCCCAACTGTTGGGGAAGACGAAATAGGAAAGCCTTATAAATATGATTGCCTGGCAAAAGATTTTGAGAATATAGAAACTATAGGCGGGATTGAAATGAAAGCAAGCTTTGAGATACCTTAGTTACTGAAAAATGGGAAAACAATGGTGTGGCTGGCTGAAGGTGATCCCCTTTTGATCAAACAATACCCTCTGCTTGCAGGCAGGTCCAAGGGTCAGAGCAGACCCTGCCATTTGGCAGAAGGGGCCCAAAGAGGAGTTTTTAGGGTTTAAAATATAACACAGTATGGTAATGTAGTGATTCTCATAGGCTGTATGGAAATGCTTTAGGATTTATATATTGTACTAGAATGTTTAGTGAGAATCAGAATATTCAACACAGAAGAAGATTTATGGTATTGTAACAGGAACCTCACTCTCTTACACTTTTGGTCTCTTATCTTTTTACTCTCTTACCCTCTTACTCTTTCATCCTCTCTACCCCTCTCTTCTCTTGGGCCTGCTCTGAGCTGTGGCTGGCAGCTCCCAGCAGGGCTCTGCACACAGGCCCTTTGCAATAAACCCCAAGTTCCAGGACCAGAAGATTTATTGTATTGTATTGGGAATTGGGAACCTTGCTCTCTCATCCTCTTTACCACTCTCTTTATCTCTCTCTCCCTGTTTGGGGCCTGCTCTGAGCTGTGGCTGGCAGCTCCCAGCAGGGGCCTGCACCCAGGCCCTTTGCAATGACCCACAAGTTCCTCAGCCTGGCTGCAGAGATCTCTTGTCTCCGTCCATCCTGACCCCCCAACCCTCCTACACCCAACCAATTCCCAGAGGATTCCCTGCCCTACCTTTGCCCTTCCAGTGGGCGTGGGCGGCGAAGCCGATGTGCCCCCCGTACTTGCGGTTGAACTCGGCCATCAGGGCCTTGTAGGGGTTGCGGATGAGCAGGATGGCAGAGTCAAAGGACTCGATCTCCTTCTGCCCACTCTCGTGGGTCTTGATGCAGATGGTCCTCCCGCTCCTCCAGTGGTCCCGCTCGCCCTTGAATCCTGCCCGGATAGAGCTGGGATTAATGGGAGTAATGGGGAGATGGGAAAGGGGCTCAGCCTGGGGAAAAGGAGGCTCAGGGGGGACATTCTGGATCCGCACAAATCCCTGACAGGAGGGGACAGACATGGGGAGTTGGGCTCTGCTCGCAGGGGAAACCAGACAGGATTAAAGGAAATGGCCTCAAGCTGTGCTGGGAAGGTTTGGATGGGAGATAAGGGAAAATATCCCCACTCAAAAGGTGATCAATCCCTGACACAGCTGCCAGGGCAGTGATGGAGCTCCCATCCCTGGAGGGATTTAAAACCCTTGTGGATGTAGCACTTGGGGACGTGGTGGCCTTGGCAGAGCTGGGGGAGCAGTTGGATTCGGTCTCAGAGGGCTTTTCCAACCCAAAGGATCCCACAGTTCCATGAAAGGGAACATCACAGGGATATCAGGTTGCGAAATCCAGTTGGATGATGAAAGCAGCTGGGGCGTGAAGGAGGATTTGCATCCCTCTCCCAGATGGAAATAATTTATTTTCCCATGTTATGAGTCTCATAAAATTGATGAGTGGGTGGCTCACAGGAACAGGGGCCTCTCAGGGTGACATCTCCCTGGCCACACTCAGCTCTTGTGCCTGTTCTGAGGGGTCAAGGGCAGATTTAATGGCTATAACCTCCCCGAGCACAGCTGAAACTCTCCCAGTAATCACAGAATCACAGAATAATGAGGTTGGAAGAGATCTCTAATAAATAAAGAAAGGGAAATCCTTGTGCCTGTGGGGCAGGGGATCAGCCCAAGGTGGGGGTGATGCCATGGGGGGGTTCAGAGAGGGGACTCTGCACTGAGCATGGGGCTGAGCCAGCATCAATCCCAGCCCCTGGAAGGCACCTGGAGTGGGGGATAAGCTGGAAGGAGCTGTGTTCCATCAATTAGAGAGGTGTAATTGGCTCTCAGCAGTGGATAAATCTGCTGGTTGCCTGGATACCTCCCGGCCCCTCCGACAGGGAAACGGAGCCCACGCTTGTGTGGCTCAGCAAAACCCAGCCAAGGCTTTTCCCACTGCTGCTGCCTTCCCTGGGATGCTGCTGCACCCTGGGGGCTGGGATATTGCTCCCTCACTGAGCATCTCCCTCCTGCAAGGCTGGATTTGGCAGGAATTGGGAGGGAATGTCAGGAAAATGGGGATTTAGGGAACAACCTGGGTACAGACCCCACCAACACGGCACAGACACAGATCCCAACTCCACCACAGCTGAGGAGGAGGGAAATTTCCTCTCAAAGCCACAAAAAAATGAAGGAATAACAGGGGAAATCTTCAAGGTCTCCAGATAAAACTTCTGTGAGTGGTTCTAAACTAGAGGAGCTGGAAATGGGGTGGGTTATTAGAACCAGAATCCCCAAATGCTTTGGGTTGGAGGGAATCTTACAGCTCATCTCATTCCAACCTCCTTGGAAAGGAACATCTTCTACTACCCCACTTTGCTCCAAGCCCTGTCCAGCCTGGCCTTGGACACTCCCAGGCGTGGAGCACCCACAGCTTCTCCGGGCAACCCCTGCCAGGACCTCCCCACCCTCCCAGGCAGGAATTCCCTCACCAGGACCCTCCAGCCCAAACCACCCCATGGAGCAGCAGCGCTCACACCCAGCCCTGCTCCGCCCTTCCTGCAGTCCCTGGGATGTCACCAGGGCTGTCCCCAGCTGGGGTGGCACCCCAGGAGCACCCTCCCCTCACCTTTGTTGTACAGGGAGCCATCAAAGTAGTAGCTGCCAGTGTAGAAGCCGGTGGCCAACTCAATCAGGTGCCGGGCCCAGGTGTTCCCAGCTCCAGGAAAACTGGCCAGGGCCACCAACTGCTTGGCACGGCTGGGCAGGAACCTCCTGTCCATGCAGCGGTTGTCTGCAGGGAGACACGTCAGGAATGTGTCATGGAAAGCTGCTGGTCCCACTGGGATGTCTGAGGAAACGCTGCCTCTCCCAGGAAAACGCTGGGGAAGGGGCTGGGCAGGGAAAAGGGGCCCTGCCTAAGGCTTAGAGGGACATCCCAAAGGGTTCTGGACACCTCAAAGAGTCCTAAACACTCAAAAAGTCCTAAGAGGATTTTTCCCAAGAGTTCTCTGCCATTCCCAGCTGTGTGCTTAGGGAAGGGTGACTAACAGGGAGGGATTCCTGTGCCAAGAAACACTCCTGTTTTTCAATGAATCAATGGAACAGCATTTCCAGCACAGCCTCAACCACCAAAGGATTGTGACAAGACTGACCCAAAACCACCCGAATTTGAGTCCTCACTTGCTCTCTTCAGCCCTTTCTTCTCTCAGGAGCAGTTTTCCTTTCTCCCAATGCTTCCCTGGCTCACTGCTCTCTCGGGAATGTTCTGCCTTTTTCCACCCCACATTTCTCCCTGGAGCTTGTCTGGATAGCAGACTCCCATGGGATCACAGAGAGGTGGGAAAACCATGGGAAAGAGGAATCCTGCCAGAGGCAGAATCTGCTGTGCCCTGCAGCTGAGCCAGACACCAACCACAGCTCACCAGGGGAATTAAAACCTGCTCATTTTTAACAGGATGCTCACACTGAGGTTGTTGGCAATGATTAGGATGAGTGTTGCAATTAGGGAAAATAGTAGGTAAGTGAAGAATTTTGTGATG